AACAACAACAACAACAACAACAACAACAACAACAACAACAACAACAAAAGCCCAGATAGGGTCATGAAGAGTTGGACATGACTGAAAAACAACTGAACAGCAACAAAAACCCCTGACAACCTAAGTGAAATTCATTTCATTTACAAATTTCAAATCCATTATATTTACAAAAATATAAACTGCCCTCCTAAATATTTCTTACTTGATTTTGTTATTACAAGCATTATCTGTTTTGTGGACTTATTTTACATTTTGCTACTTTAACTAAAGTTATTGTCTCTTTAAATTTCTTTACTGACCTCTGGACTTTTTTTTCAATCTTCAGAAATAGCCATAGTTTTGTCTTCTCTTTGCTGGTGTCTATACTTTTAGTATTTGTCTATTTTCTTATTGCTATTGGTAGCATTTCTATATCTATGTCAAATATCAGAAAAGAAAGCAACATCCTATTTTCCCTCAGCATTTATATCAGAAATTTCTAGTGATTTCCTATTGCAAATAGTGCTAACTTTTCCTTTTAGAGAAATATTTATATTAATGAATGCCTTTCTATGCCTATGCTTTCTAGTGTTTTTTAAAAAACAAATGAATGTTATTCTTTGTTAAAGACATTTTCTTCAACTATTGATACAATCATATGGTTTTGTGTTTTTATCTTTCCCTCGCAATACCTCTAGATACAGAGTCTTTTAGATTACAAGTGTCTCTAGCTGTTCTCTGGTCATCCTGGGAGGCTATCGTCTTGTTTGGTTACACTAGTACTAGCTTTTCTGGTGACCCCTTTTCCTATTGCCTATGGGCTTCTCTTTGACTTTTTGTGTAGGTCAGGAGTGAAAAGAAATGACTTTCTGTAGTTTCTAAATGAATTTCTTGATAATTTTTTGGCCTGATTAAATTTTTTCCCATTTTTTGAGTAGATATTTTGGAGGGGGATTTCTAGCTTCTGTTCAAGCAGCTATCATGGTCAGAAGTCCTCCATAAATTATTTAATTTGTTAATTTCTCTTTATTTATCCCCCTCTTTAATTTTTCTCTTTTCCTGTCAAACTAAGCATGGAAGTCAACATTTTTTCTTCCCTTCTCCCCTCCAACTTTTATTTTTAAGTAGTATTCTTTTCAAGAATGTGTCTTTTTTAAGAAGTTTTATTTGCCTTGCCCTTATAATTTCTGTACTTTTCTAGTCCACTTTGAATTTTTTGTTCTCATTCTTGGCTTATATCCTTATTTGTTCCATGTCCTTCATGTGTCTTTTTAAAGCTTCTGAAATATCAGGTTTGAACTTCTCTTTCTATGTCATTTCCCTCTTACTACCTTTGTAGATTTTATCCTATTTAAACTTTTTTCTTCTATTCTTTGCTCTCAGTAATATGAATTCATGTATGAGGATATGATCAATAAAAAAACAGTGTTTAGGATATCTGGTTGTACATCCTATTGTTCCCATGATCCCTTCTTTATTCTTCAGGCAATTGTGTCTTATATAGGACCTATTCTCCCTCCTAACCTCATCATGTTAGGTGCTGGTTCACTCATCCTCTCACATGGCCTGGGATGGTGTCTCAGGATTCACAACTATATCTCAGAGAAGGTAGTTTACAAATGTGTAAATAAATTCCCTCCTCCTCTTTCTCCTGCAAATATGTATCACAAAACTCTCTTCTCTTATTGCAGACACAAAACTCTGCCATGTGAATGTTCTTTAATTACTTTTTCTTTCCTTTTCAGTTTTGCAACAAGTTCCCCTGCCTTTTTTAGTCCCTTCCCTCCATTGCTTTTATTTCATTCTCCCAATATCATTTGCTCTTGTGGAGAAATGTGAATGATTATGCCTTTATCATTCATCTATGGAATTGCTATGGGTGCAGTACGTATTCTCCTCTGTTCTTTACTATTTCTGGCCCCACCAACATATCTTCCTACTCTGTTATTCCTTGCTATGATAGATACAGATATATTTATTTGGGATGTTGGAATTTAATCCATGGAGTATTATTTCAATTCTTCCACCTTTGCTTTTTTTCTGAATCTTTAATTTTCCCTAAATCTTTAAGTTCTTTTTGTCCCTTGATGACATCTTTTTGTTCTTTCTTTTACTACCATAGATCAATTATTCTCTTAAAAAAATAAGAATCTATAAATATGAGGGAGTTGATTTCACTTCTTTGTCTTTTCTTTACAATTGTACTTACTTACTCTGTGAATTTCTGGTATTTCAGGCTATTTGAAGGTTAAATGATTGGCTCACCTTGTGTTTTTTCCTCTGCATGAATGCCAGTATGCCTCACTTTTTGTTGAATGTCTATCTTTAAAAAAAATTGAGCTTAGGTTTGCAAGAAATGTTATTTTAGGCTGAGCCACACAGCTGCTGCTTGCTTCTGAATATCCTTCTTTCTTCTCAGGGTCTCCTTACTAAGGAAAACCATCCTCAGGAGTAGGTCCCCTTCTTAGTCCACCCTGGGTCTGTGACTCAGACTCAGGTAGTGGGCAGCAAGGTTCCTACTTGGCACAAGGTGCCCATTGTGATGTCCCAGAAATGGTCTGAGGGAACCCTAGAATGGGTATGGACTTGCTCTTTTACTGGTCCACAGATTTCCCTATGCCTGCACATGTTGTGCTTCTGAACCTACCCTGCCTCCAGTGTAAGTGAACTGCCCTGTCTCCCCATACTGAACAGTGTTGGATAAATGACTCCTCATGACTTCCTCCCCTGGATTTCCCCATAAGAATTAATTCAGGTCCATTTTCTAGTTTTATTTGGGGAAGTTTAGTAGAAGTTTGACTGTGATTCTTTCCACTTCACCATGTTGGTTCTGCCCGAGATTTATTTCTCTTAATTCTAGTTTAAGATCAGGTTAGAGAGGCAAGGTCACCTGGTGAATAATGACACAGCCTCAGTGTCAAAGCATTATGTTTAAGTCACAACCCTGTTATCTATGAGCTGTGTGAACCTGGGCATAGGTATGTGAACTTAACTCTCTAATGCCCCCCTAGCAAGTCTTATATAAGACCATATGACTTTTATATGGTAATTTCCTCAATGGTTTCCTCAACCACCCTACTATCAAAAATGAAACATTCATACACATGTCTAAAAGGAGAGGTTAATTTTTTATGCATCTCAGCTAGGCTCCCAAAAGCCTGAATACCTTTCTTAGTTCCTATAAATCCTTATACATATACCCTATTTACTAAAGTCTAATACATAATTTCTAGGGCCTATGAAAACTCCAAATTAGCAACACTCATCTCTGTGTTCTCCATATTAATGAAGCTGCACCCAAATCTTTTGAGTGATTTATGTATCATTTCATACTTCTTTCCATAATGAAGACACTGTAAGA